TTAAAGTAAGGGGATAAAGGCAGTTCTCAAGGCTGTGGAGTGAGAGAGAAAGCCACAACCTTTATTTGAAGCACAAGAGGATTCAGCATGACTCAGAGCATAATCTAAAGTACAAAATAGGAATTTCACTGTATCGTGTTTTGGAATAACTTTACTAACAAAAGAGAGCCCAATTGCTTATAAATCATCTTAAGAGATTATGTAGTATGTTGGAAAGGAAAGGGCTTTGAGTGTGTCAGCCCTTTGAATGTTGCCTCTGCTCACTATATGTATGACCTTACTATCCTATTTACTTTTCCTGGGTTTTGCTTTATTCCACTGTATTATGGTACAATAGGTAAGTAATTAAAATTTATAAGAGCTTAGAACACGTCTGTGTTCAATAAAAGTATCTATTATTGTTACTCTTGTTAAGACTCAATTACTATTGTTACTCAATTACTCAAGACAGGGTTTCATATAGATAAATTTATTTTCAGGGTGGGAGTTAGAGTAGAATTTATCTATGATTTCTCTCTCTTAAAATACTGGTAAACAAATCCAAGTCCTCAAAAAACCTTATTTTATTATATAAATTTCCTGGGTTCAAGAGAGATCATTAAGAATGATGGCAACTCTGTATGTTGCCAAAATGTATGGTGACTAGGCTTATTTAATAAAAAGTAATGCTAAATGGCCTTATAATACTCAATGAATAGACAATTTCTCTTCTGATATATGCAAAATCAGTTTTGATGCAGACATTTTTCTATATATCAAGATGGATATGGAAATTTTTTTTTTCTAACCACCCAGCTGCTACAACGTTCAATAAATTAATTTTAATCTTAAATCAGAGATGTAATAGAGAGAGGGGTGATTTAATATGCAATCTCATTACATTTGACAGGCTTATTTATAAATGATTTGCCCCACATTTTGACAAGCATAGTTAATATGTTAATTAGCTTTTAAACAGATGATGAAAGGAAGAGACTGACACGCTATCATTCTTCACACTCCATGTTGGGGAGCACTGTCATTGAAACCATACGGTAGTGCTATTACATAGTGTGGCCACCCCTAAAAGGACTGTGTCCGTGATGAGATAATTATTTATCAGCTACTGATAACTTAGTCACATTATGCTAAAAATCAATCTCTTAAAATAATCCCAACTGATCTTCTGCTTTAGGAAATAAATGCCACTCTATACATACGTATGAGCTTCCATGAAGACTACACAGCTAATGGAGAGCAATGACCTCCACAGCTAGACCAGAGCTCTGAGGAGGGAGGAACTGACTACAGGCATAAGCTGCTTTCACATCTGCACTTCTCTTAACGGGGTTCTCAGCACTTGGTAAGCCTCTTTGGTTTAGAAGCTTAAAGATGATTTCCTACATCTTAACTTCCAAAGAGTTATAAAATCCAAGAATTAAGAGAAGTTAGGCACAAGACTATGTCCAATTTGATTCCTCTGCTTAAAGACTCCTTCACGGAGGGGAGACAAGCTATCTAAAATGGTCTGTCTTGCTGAGTGCTCAAATCCCAAGGGATGTTCACACCCACCAGGGGCTGGAGACCCAGAGCAGCAAATCATAACAGGGACAGCTCTGATTCCCATCACCTGCTGCCTACGTAATGCCAATGTGTCTTCATTAATATTTTATCGCCGGTGGTTATTTAAACAGAAAACTGGAAAACGTAACACCGTGTAGGGATCGTTAGGTTTTAGTTACTCCCTCCTGCCCCAGGATGGTAATGAACTGTAAAAATAGCCTGGAACAACTGCCACCTGCCTCCCTGCTATTGTCCTTGGGTTAATATTTGCACTTCTTGGTGCACCTGCGCCATGGCTCAATTATAGTCCCGTTTCTTCACATACCCAGCATCAGTCTCATTTATTATGCAAAATCCGGCGCCCTGTGGACTTCTCCCTAACTGGAAAAATACCTGACATACAGGATAACAACAAAATGGCTTTTAGAAAATGGCTTGGAATGAAATCAAATTCAGCATGACAGGCAGGGACAGACATCACTCCGAGTTATGCCAAGCAGCATAGGAAAGGCTCAAACATAAAACATGGACTATTTGATTTTGCCAATGATAATGGTTGCATGAAGGCCAAAGACATTTGAGGGTCTACTGTCTTTTTATAACACTCACCGGAGGATATGTTTATTGATTTTAGAGGGAAAGGTGGGGGGAAAGGGGAGAGAGGAGAGAAACAGCGATTGAATGCCTCCTATGCACACGTGGACCAGGAACCGAACTGGCAACCTAGGCATGTGCCCTGACCTCGAACTGAACCTGCAACCTTCTTGATGTAGGAGTGGATGCTCCAACCAAATGAGCCACCCTGCCCAGGTCTACTATTTTGTCTCAGTTTTCCTCCCTTCCACTTTCAGTAGAAGTCTTATTCTTACACTTCATTATGTCTCCGGTTAAAGTAAACGGGCAGAAAGTGCCCAAGCCTTCTTCCTTAAGAGAATGGGCACACGTAAGAAAAAAGTGTGTATGTGTGTGGGGAGCAGGGGGAGGCAAAGCCTGGAAATCAAATGCCAATGATCAGAAACAGACATAACAGCAAGTGGTTCTTTGTACTTGAAACAACACTTTTTAAGGTTTGGGGAAAATTAGCCAATAGTGTATAAAAAACAGCTTCTTCCGTTTATGAGGGTAGTCTTAACTGAACTGCCAAGTACTAAGACAAACCGTGCCCCAAGCCACAAATATTTCCAAATTATGTTCTATTAGCGGAGTCCTTAACTGACCTCGCTGAAAGGCAACCCGCAATTTCCATACTTAAAAAATGGAGAAAACCACTCCATAATTCAAGAATATTAAGCAGTGACTACTTGTGTAGCCTACTCTCAAGAGGGAGGAAGGAAATTAGAAAGTTAGTAATTGATATCTGATGAGTTCTTTGTCCTTTATTTCCAATTTTTTACTCTGATCAAAATATCTATTGTCCCTGCCTAGTCTTGGGAGGGGGAGGGGAAAGTTAAAATCTAACTGTAACAAAATGTCCAAAACAAACAAAAAAGCCAGAGGTGGGATGAAAAAATATATTAGCTCAGCTCCTCAATGATAGATGGTCATCTTTATGCTCCATGTTTGGGAACATGCATTATGATGGTATTAGATTTATTATAAGGCATTACAAAAATGTATGACAATAGATTGTAGGCTATTTGATGACCCAGATTCCTTTATAACTCTATTGAAAGCTATAGATCTACACGCCATAAAAATAAATAGGTCCATGTGTACACAAAATCCTGCAGGTAATCTCAGCGGTTTCAAACATCCTGAAATCCCATTGCCGGGGGGCTTCCTGGAACCTAAATTAAGAAAATCTACACTGTGCCCTACATCACAAGGAACTTGTTTTCTCACTGGAAAATATTTGAATCCCAAACATCAGGGTAGAAGCCAGACCTCATCACAGCCTAATTAACTAAAAGCCAAGATAACCGAGGGCAGAGCTGCGAAGTAAGTACATGGCACTAAGATAAACACCACGTGCTAAAGTTTTATTGAGGTCATAAACATCATATGAACATGTAGCTGAATTCTCTATATGGGGCACAGTCATTCTTAGAAGATGATTCCTGCTGTAAAGTAACCACATGGCATGGGAAATGTTTTGCTATAAGTGCAATTGTGAGTCTAAAAAGAGATTTTTCCATTAATAAAGGACATTTTCAACAGTCACTAGTAAACCCTTTCTGAGCTAAAATTATTACCTTATTTGATTCAGATCACAATGGATTGGGAACCCATATGTTGTTATAAATAATAACCAGGCATTAAACCTCACGAGTCTCTGAGCCTCCAATTATGCTAGGTACTTAAGTTTTGCTAAACCATCATGTGAGATTGAGACTCTATTGAAATTAAATGTGTTGCGACCCTTTAACAGAGTAATTTTATTTCATTTTGGATAATTAGTGGCAACAGTTTCCAGCACTATAGTGCACCAAATTTAGTGCCTAGCAGTTACACTGAAACCTTCAGACCACCTATCTGAGCTTTGTTGTGAATTTAAACATGCTAGCTACTACTTCCAACCATACTGTGGTTTGGAGATACAGATATACAACCTTGTAATAAAGCAAAGCCACAAATTAAGACCTTTAGGAGAAAAATCACTGACTACTTGCGGAAAGCCACAGCTTGCCAATTCTGTCACCAAGGAAAGCTGAAGACCTAGGATCTTGGGTGTTATCAGGGCTGAAGCTAAGCACCAAAAGTCCAATTGCTATTCCTGTTGAGATAGTGGTGGCTCAAGGCAATTCCCTAACCTGATAATCCTTTTACTGTTTACCAAACTTTACCTTTGACATGCCTGAATGCATTTGAAAGGGAAAATGTGTATTCAAGTAAATAAATAGTGGACCAGGCCAGAAGTCTGTGTGTCTCTTTAAGAAAGAGGCTCCTGCCCTAAGAGGTTTGGCTCAGTGGCTAGAGCATTGGCCTATGAACTGAAGGGTCCCAGGTTTAATTCTAATCAAGGGCATGCACCTTGGTTGCAGGCACATCCCCAGTAGGGGGTGTGCAGGAGGCAGCTGATCAATATTTCTCTCTTATCAATGTTTCTAACTCTCTATCCCTCTCCTTTCCTCTCTGTAAAAAAATCAATAAAATATATGTATATTTTTAAGAAAGATGTTCCACCTGGCCCCCAATTCCTTCTAAATTCATATTTCTTGTATAGCATTTTCATTTTCCTTCAGATCCTGAACCCCGCTGCGAAAGCTGCAGCAACTCCTGACAGTTAGAAAAGTCTCTGCCCCGGTCCATCAAGAGGATTACTAGGTCCCATCTGCAAGGCGGGCTCTGATGAAGAAATATTCCCAATCGTGTTTTTTAAAAATCTAGTATCACTGCCACACACCGGCAAACACTCCTCCACCATTAATCTTCATTCAAACCGCTGGGATGTTTATCTAGGCTTGACCCAGACCAAGCACCAGTGACAGATTAGCTAGAGAAAAGCTCCCGTTTCTCACCACATGTCAAGGCAGGTAGAATACTCTGTTGAGCCCAGGAGGACATCTGGAGGTCGGTACCATAAGGTAACCACTTCATTGGAGTACGTGTGGCTGGGGACCGATTTTGCTCTTGCAAGACCTGCGGGTTACATGAAGCATCAAGAAGTTTAATAGGCATTCATAGGACAAGGGAACTTAAGTGTAAATGTTAACAGTTTTAAAAGGTCAAACATGACACTGCAATACAGAGTCATGAATTTAGTGTCAAGGTTACAAGAAAGGCCGACTTGTTTCAAACACATGGCTTGTAAATCATTCATATCCCTAATAAAACATCATGACTCTAATAAAACCCCAGGAGAGTAAACAAATGATCCATCAATGATTAGACATTACACAGAAGCTGAGAAATCTTCCAAAGAATGTTCCATGGAGCTCGAGTTCTTAGAGCTATAAATAGTGCTATTGGAAAGGCTTCCAAGGTGAAATAATTTTGAGAAAAGATGGGTGAAGAAATTAAACAGTATTCCATACATGAGATTTCTCAGTGCCTTTAATTGTCCTACTGTGTATTGTGACTCTGAGAGAAGACAGTATGACAGTTTTCTCAAAGGAGATTTCCCAAACTTCTCTGGGTTTCAGGTTCTGTCAAGCACTCGCTAGGAATTCCTTATTCAAGGAAGCTCATTTGAAAACTAAATAAATAAAAAATTATAAGGGAATAGTTCAAAAAATTAAAGTGTTTTCTAAGAATTTTTTAAAACTGGGAAAAGGGTCACAATAATATGTTAAGTGATAATGCACATGCACTTTGACCTCACAACAAAGAATGACAGGAAATGCATTTTTCCAAACTTTCTACAATGACTATGATTCCTCTAAAAATCACAAAATCTAATCTATGTGATAGGGTTCCACCTGGGTATGTTAATTAATGGCAAGGGTAAAGTATTATTTATCACTGTGATGCTCAAAGCACATAGAACATTTTAATAATATTCTACCAGAACAAATTCATTGCCTTGTTCTGCTTATTTAAATTTTTATGTAGTACTTAGAAACATGACTTTTTCCCTATTTATTAAACACTTGGTATTCCCTTTAGTATATTCTATGAAAACATTAAAATTAATAGGACAACTGGTGAGACAAAGAATTTCTAATTAATTCAAATATGATATATGTTACAGTAACTCAATTTTTCTACAGTGCAGTTTTTCTAATAATCTAATGGCATATTACAAATTGGTAAGTGTTTAAAAGACAGATTATAAATATAAGTACATACACATATGTGGTCTCCAACCTTTTTGGACATAAATAGAATAACTAGTTTTGATAACAGATTTCCAAAACAGATTTCTTCTTTTCTTTTTCCTTTTTAAATTATAGTGATTAGACATTCATATACCTTATGAAGTGATCATTCCGATAAGTCACTATATATAGTTATTACAATATTATTGACCATATTCCCAATGCTGTAGTTTACAGCCCCATGATTATTTTCATAATTAGCAATTTGTACTTCTGAAGCCCTTTCATCTTTCTTCCCTAAATTCAGGCAAAGCTGAATATGTTAAGTGATAATGCACCAGAAGAACAATCAGGGTGGAAGTATTTCCACAATCTAGTAATCCCATCAAAAGGTTTAGTTCTTCAAATGGGCATGTTTCTATACAGAGACCAAAGAGCTAAGCACAAGTTCTGAAATAGGTTCTGACTCGTTCCATATGCTGTTGTCAAGTCAAATGGGAAGCTAAAAACATCCAGGCTGGATTCCCTTGGCTTTTCTGAGGCCCTGTTGACAGAAAGCTATGCCAGAGGGATAGTAGAATGAAAACATGAGATTTTCTTTGACAGCTTGGAAGACCACACTAGTTACAGAAAATTATAATATTTTTCACTTTTAAAGAGAGAACATGACCTCAAAATAACTTAGGAATAGTATAAATCTAAATAAATACATGTGATTTCAGATCAATTATGTTCACTGTGACTTTAAGTTTATAAAACTGGTTAAATATATCTGGAAAATATAAATAGAAAAGGCTTTGTCTACATTATTTTCCTCCTTCCCACATGTTTAGGTCAAAGACTGCCCAAATTCCACTCACAAGGGTCACAAAACTTTCCAAATTAACAGTGAAAATGAGTTTTCCATATCTAAGTCTTCAATGTGTTAAGACAGTTTCTTAAAATAATTTGCGGGTAAAGTTATATATTGAAGAATGTTACATTCTTCTCACTTTAATAAAATCAACTGAAACACTTTCTTGTGGAAAGTATCCCATATACGGATAAACAAAAGGTTTTCAACCTACCAGAATTTCTATTCAGTTAAAAAGATAAATAAATCCCAAAACGTTTTCAGGGAAGGAGTAAATTATTAAACAATGACAAAAAAAAAAAAAAGTAAGAAAGAAAGAAAAATAAATAAAGAAAGTATATTTTGAAGTAGGAATATATAACTAGGCTTTTAATAAATATTTTGGGTAAAGACATTGCTATGTTTATACAGTTCATGCATCAAAACAAGCTTACTCATACAAAATTTATTACCCTGCATCCTGCAGCTAAAGGAAAACTGTAGGACAGGATTAATTAGCACAGCATGTGTGAAAGGCTTCTCTCTGTGTTCCTTGTCAGTTGCTATGGTTACACTACAGGAAGAGAGCTACATTACCTTTGAAAAAGGATGAAGTTTATGGGTTATTATCAAAACTTCTTACATTAATGTTTAGTGTGAATTAAAAGTTAAAAAGCCAAGTGAAATGCTAACCAGCTGAAGACAGGGCACCTGCACGCCACCATTGTGCTGAATGTGTGCATAGGAACCAGTGCTTGTTGCTATGGGCACCGAAAATAGCTTGCATAACGATTCAGAAGACCCAAGTTTAAGATGTTACTGTTTCTAACTCATTAAAGACCCTCAAGTTGAGCAAAACAGCAACAACAAAAACAAACAAACAAACAAAAAATCTTGTTATTCAAGCCCTATTGCCAATTATTCAAAGACAGGCCACCTGGATACTGGCTAGCACAGCAGAACAGAATCTTCGATTTCTAGAGCTCTACAGCTTTATATTGTAGTTACTCTCTTAGACAATGGAAGAGTTCCCTTTCCACATATCTTCAAGATGGTTAACCAACATCTGCTGCCTCCCAGAGCCCAGTTCTACCCTCTTGCAGGGATACCGGATAAACCACGTGGCATGCTTCTAACATTTGTCCTAAGGTGCCAGTCATTCAGCATCAACCAGTGGAGATGTTCTCTGGAACAGCGGTCGCCAATCTTTCCGACCTCACAGACCACCAGTGGCCCGCGGACCAGAGGTTGGCGACTGCTGTTCTAGAAGTTATTTTAATAGCTTTCTCAGCTGCAATGGACCTCTCCTCCGCTTTTAGAATCTCCTCTGTTGACTCCTCAGATAGGAAAGAGTTAACAGCAGTGACTTGGTCTCCATATGGGATCTTCCTCTATATGCTGGGAGTTTTTCTAGAGTTATATATTCAAACCAGGTAACTGTGGCTAATACCATGTCTTAATGGTTATGGATAGATTATTTCTCATAAGATGGTACCTCCAGCTTCCACCTTTCCATGGGCTTCATAGTTGATCATGTCCCATTCCTCAGCAAGGACTGCAGGGACTTCACACAACCTCAACCACAAGTCCCTACAGCCTTCTCTGTCAAGAATACAGGGGATAAGCCTGTGAGTCAATGCATTTTACTGGTAAATGCTTTAGGTTCCCCAAACAATAAAAGTTATTTTAGCTGTGAACAGATATATGTTACATTTTATATTCCATGCATATCAAACTCTTCCTTCAAATTCCAAGGCATCCTTTGGCAGGTGGTTAAATTGTTTGGAGACATCTCTCAAACTCTATGGAGAAAATCACTAAACCTAGGATAGCTCAGATTGATCATGTTCATGTCTCTGCTTTGACTAAGGGGTTGAAAAAGAACTGGCAACACTAACTGGTTTCTTTCTCATTAAGTGGAATAATGGCAAAAGCTAGATGAACTTACCAAAGTCAACCAAAATAAGATAAAAAGGAGTATCTTTCACCACTTCAGTCTTACCAGAGAGCGGGCCACTGTTTTGTGCTTGTCAGTGATTTCAGTTTTTTATGAGAACAATTCGCACACCTATCTCTCAACATACTTCATTTCCCAAACTAAAGGATCAGAAAAAGATGATCATGTTCCTAGTTAATCACAAAAAGCAATATGTCTAGGCCATGGGTTCCTTCCTTCACAACTTGAAGCTAAACAGACATGATTTGGGTAATAGTTCACCATCTAGCAGATGGGTTGAAGAGAGAAACTCCTCTCTCCCATGAGTCATCCCTGGAAAAGGGCAGCAAAGGCTTCTCATTTCTTTCCCTCTCCACAGTCCTGGGAGCTGGCCAGGAGTTTCTTTTTTCATCCTCATCTCTCTGCTACAGGATTTATATCAAATGTCTCAGGCTGTGCTACAGCTGCTTGAAAATCTTTTATTGCTGCTCTTAGAGTATATCAGTACACAGCCACCAACAAAACACGGAAAACACTGTTTTCTGTTCTTCTCCCAAGTTCTGGCTTTAACCTCTTTCCTCTGCACTTAACAAATTTTCCCGGATGATCTTACTTAATCCTGTGGCTCCAGGTACTATCTATATGCTGGTGATCTTAAATACTTTAACTCGAGAATTAATCTTCCTCTAAATCTTTAGGTTTCTACATAAAAAAAAAATAGCCACTTAGATCTCCTAAGGCTTTCTCAAACATTTCCCCTGTCCCCAATTCTCCAACCAGTACCGCCCTCTCCAGTATTCTGTAGCTCACCATTAGCCATCACCATCAATCCATTCACTAGAGCCAGAAGCCTCGTCTCATTCCAGGTTCCTTCCACTTACAAAATTACAAAATTCAATGCATTTTGATTTTTTTTTTTAATTCCCAACCAAGGCTATGTTTAGTGAGTTGAGAGGGAGAAACACCAATGTGAGACACATCGATCGGTTGCCTCCCGTATGCACCTCAACAGAATCGAACCCACAATCTTTTGGTGTACAGGCTGGCACTCCAACCAACAGAGTAGCCTGGCTGGGGCCAATGGGTTTTACTTTATAATTATTTTATAATTTTC